ATAGTGCTGAAACTCTGAATTTTATTTTTCGACACTGAGAGAATTCAAAGAGCGCTCTATAGCAGGTACAATTAATTAACCCCGTTATTGGTTTAGGATAAAAAATAAAGAGCACAAAAGAAACCAAACAATAAATGTTTTTTATAATAATGAGCAAAGAAATATGTTGTATTCAAATCCAATAAAATTTGTTAAACGTAAATGTTTTAATAGGCCAAAGAAAAAAGGAGTTATAAAAATAAGTACAAAGTATAAACACCGTAGAAGTTTATGACATTTGAATTAAACCAAAAAAGTCCACGCTCAATAATCCAGGTATACAATCCAACAATTTTCAGTCAGGTCATCTAGACAGTTTCTTTTTTTGCTGCAACGTTTCACCTTCCATCCGGAAGGCTTCATCAGTCAAGGAAACACACAACACAAAACTTATTCTTCCCCCAAACAGCTTACTCCAAAGTGAAACAAACCAGTTGTGTTGGTGCTAAGATAGTGTTTTTGGCACGCCCCCTCCTCCTGTGCCGGCCCTCTTCCTCATCGAAAGTCATGCCAAACTGGTTCAAAACCAAAAAAGTCCACGCTCAATAATCCATATAATAAGCAAAAAAATAAATAAACTGTCCAGATGACCTGACTGAAAATTGTTGGATTTGAATTAAATGTTAATATAATGGAGCACATTTTTTACCTTTTTTCTGATTTTTTTCCACCAGTACTTTGATGCTTTAATTATTTTTCAAAGTGGACAATCGACATTCCCTTTTACCTTTAATGCCAAACAAAATGTATTTCGCAGACAAACTTATGCTCTTTCCAGTGGTGTTAGCTTGAATACTTCAGATTGTGATTTTTAAAGGATTTGTTGCTAAAATCTATTTTCCTTTTGTGAGCCAAGAGGTGCAAACAAACAGAAAGACACGTGTGTGTGTGTGCATGCGTGTAGTCTAATTCCTCCACTTGCTCCTTTGTGATGCAGTGTTATGTTAGGCGGGCACTACGACACCATCCACTCTTAATTATCGCTGCAGCACCAGCGGGGAGTCCTCTTTCACACCCACTTTCTTTTATCCAATGTTTTTCTTCTGCGCCCCAGCAACCACTGTCTCCGAAAATCACGTACATAAAAAAGAATGTGTTAAAATATTTCTGCTCCGCAGCTTTCATGCTATGTCACATCAGGATTTTTTTCAACATGACAAGCTTTGATACCCAATTAATCAAACGTAATGTTTTTTCCCCCTCTCTCGGTTACTTTGATTTAATTTTCATGTTTTCTCCAAAAGAATTTGACGGTAATTTGACCCCCTAAACAGATTCTGTTCAGCAGTGAACTACAACTAGAAAGATATAAACACAGAATTGTAACGGTCTAAACTGCTGTGGTAACAGGACTGAAATGTAAGTCATAGCTTATCTGGCAGCCATATTGTCACTGACAGTTTCTACTCTATTATTTGTGTTGTAACAAGAAGGCACGCATAATGGAAATGATTTGACTTGGCTATTGGTGGCCGTTTTAGCTTTAGCAAAGACGAAGGCCTGCATGTAAACAGAGCGTTGCTATGATAATAAAAAAAAAAAAAACTGCAGTATGACTTTTTATAATTGTTTATTGTTGTTGCTGTTGTCCATTGTTGTCATCTTTCTTTGTTGAAATCAGGTCTCTCTTGTAAATGAGTCCTCGAGGCTCAATGGGATTTACCTGTCTAAATAAAGGTTGAATGAATAATGGCTGACAGCACAGACAGTAGAGAAGAATCTTATGTTTCTTTAGATCATTTAGAGCACACATGTCAAACTCAAGGCCCGGGGGCCAAATGTGGCCCTCGTTGACATCTTATCTGATCCTCTAGATGATTTATTAAACAAAGAATACTTTTATCACTCAAATTTTTTCAGTAATCTTTGATTATGATGTCTAAAGTGCAACAGGGAACATCAAATGAGACCAATCAAACTCGATGAGGAACCTGCAACCAAGAAAAGCTGTTGGGTATCTAACTTGAGTTAATGTAGAAACTGGACCTTAGTTTTAAAAATGTTTTAATTTTGTTCCCCTTGTAATTGAGTTTGACACCCCTGACTTAGAGTCACAAAAAAAAAAAAAAAACTAAATTTGTATGAATCATTTGTGAATGTCAATTGTTGTTGTTGTTATCCACTGTGGTCATCACTCTTTGTGAAAATTCAGGTCTCTTGTAAATGAGTCCTCGTGGCTCAATGGGATTAACCTGTTTAAGTAAATGTTGAATGAATTTAGAGTCACTATCAGAGAAAGACAGCAAGTTCAAATAAAATGTTTTTATAAACGAATACCAGGGAGTTAGTTCCCTGTTGAACGTCACTTCCGTTGTCGCCAAGTTCAAAAGAAATAATGCTAGATATATGAAGAAAATGGGTAAAATCATGTATATGCTGCCTAATTTCCTAAATATTAAGATATTTTCTTCTTTAAGATACAATATGCTGGGCTATGTTAGGCTTAGGGAGCACTGCTGTGCAGTGGTTAAAGCTACCGCCTCCCAGCAGGAGGGTCGAAGGTTCGTCTCCCGGCCTAGTGTCTTTCTGAGTGAAGCTTACATGTTCTCCCTGTGCACTCATGGATTTTCTCTGGGTAAGGATTCCTGCCATAGACCAAAAAACATGCTAGGAGATTTAGTACCTCCAAATTAATAATAATAATAAGGTGTTATGTGTTGTCATCATTGTATGTTTCCTTACAATGGTGAAATTGGCTCTCTGTATTTAACCCATCCACCCCCCAGGTGGTGCAGTGGGCAGCTATGTAAGCGCCCGGGAAGCAATTGGGGATGTGGTGTGGTGCTCAGAGACACCACGAAATGTGCAATGACTGGGGATCGAACCTGGGACTTTCAGGTCCCGAGTCGGCTGCCCTGCCTATACCCCATCTCGGCCCCCTAGTGTGAAGGATTTTTTTTGGGGGGGGAGGTGTCTTATATGTCTTTTTGTGTCTTTGCTATTGACTTGCGACCTGTCCAGGGCCTGTCAGCTGCTCATGACACAAAAAAGAGAAGCAAGTAAAATGGATGGATAGGCTAGGCTAGATTTAGATAAGCTATGTTTGGTTAGGCAAAGTTACATTAAACTAGGCTACGTTTGGTTGGGTTAGGTTTATGCTAAACTATGTCAGGTTAAATTAGGACAAAATAGACCAGACTAGATTAGGCTAAAGTAGGGTTAGGCTTAGCTAACCTACATAAAGATAGGTTAGCTGGGGTAAGGTTATGCCTAATTAAGCTAAGCTAGGCTAGCCCAGGCTAAGTTTGGTTGGGTTCAGCTGTTACATAGAGTTGAAGTAAAATTGGCTATGTTAGACTTGGACGTGGTTAAACAAGTGTTGGGCTAGATTAATACAGATTATCCAGGGTCTTTTACCAAAACAAAAGCAGAAGCTGCTGCACTAAAATCAAATAAAGTTTTTTTGATAGCAGGATTTAAGGACAGAAGCAGAAACAGCAGATTTTCAAAGACCAGGTACAAATGTGAAGACTGGTTAGCAATACTTTAAAAATAAATCCTAACATGTCAACTTTTGATAACTTGATGGGCTGTAAGCTGATCTAAATGATCTGGAAAGTCAAGAGCAGAGATGGCTTAATACACGTGTGGAAAATAGAGAAAACTAAGTTTATTATTTCACTTCACCAAATTAATCTTAGTTTCTACATGCTCTACGCATTGTCAGTGCTTGTTTCCTCTGCTTCAGGTGTGGTTCTACAACCAAGCATGGCACAGCATGGTCTCTTTCCTAAGTGTGGCCAACAATGGTATCCTGAGAGGTAACTTGCCCGTGGGACAGAACCTACGCCAACATGGCATCTCCATCTCCAATCACCCCCTCAACCTCACCAAGGAACAGCTCTCCTTCATGGCTATGTGAGTAAAGAAAAACAAGTGACCCATTTATCATTATATATGAAAATAATTGGAACTTGCTACAAAATTACATTATTTGTTTTTAATCTAACCCAATAGGAAGGTAAAAACCTTAAAAGAAGTATAATGGTTAGGTTCTCTAGTGACTGATTTATCTGTACATAATAGTTCTGTCTCTATGTGCTACAGTACTAAGTGGTAAAATATCTAGGGTGCACCCTACCCCTCAGTCAGTTTGTATTATGGTATTTTTGATCACTGTATCAGTATAACAAACACATATTGTCAACAGCTTATCGTACACTGCCAAAACCTTCAGTTTCCTCCCCAGAATTTCAACGCGTATAGTGCCTGTCCTGGGTAGAAACCATTGATTGTTTTGACAGTGCTTGCTTTGTGGGATGCAAAATACAATCTTTTGTCCCTGAGTTGTGCAACACAGCTCTGTTTCATGGTCAGCACTTATATTTACCACTGACAAGGTTCCACAAAGTAATTTACCTGTTGTTTTTGATTTATTCATTGACGCACTCACGCATCATGGCAGCAGAACGGGCACACAAGGTTAAAGCACTTGTTCAGTGTTCAATGTCTTGTTTGAGTAAACTGTGCGTTCAACCATATTTTTAAAAATAGAGTTAAACACTCACGTATAGAAGAAAAACACATGCAAGTACATGTTCACCAATCTTTCATGGCTATAGGTGATAATAAACCAGAAGTAGGCATCAGATGTTCTGGTGTAGATTTTTACTCTTTCAGAACAGTAGGACGTCCTACAGCTTGGCTCTGGACGGACTGTGTTCAGATTACCAACCAAATGCAGATAGGATGTCATTCACACCTGTGAGCTGTTTGAAAGGTGTTCAACTGCTCAGAACAGATATTAATCCAGGGGTTGAGATATGTTGCATAAACTTTTTCACTTGCTTCAAAATTC